GGAATCTTGCTTGATAAATTGTTATCGAGAATAGTATTCTTGCTGGCTGAGGTGCTTGGTGCAGTTGGCTCTGATTGTGTGGCATTAGATTTACTCCTCGTTTTAGGTGGAGATTTTTCTTGTTCTGCTGGCTTATTTGATTTGTTTGATTTATTTTTTGTTTTTTTCTTATTTGGTGAGTTGCTTCCCGAACCGGGAGCGGAGTTTCGGACACGCTTTTGGAGCGTACGTCTTTTCAAGTATTGCGAGTCAGTCTCGCTAATTTCTGAAAAGGGTGTCTCGTTCTCCGAGTCTTCACAAGAAGTGTTCTTATCCAAATCCATGGATTTATCCATGATGGATAAATGAGTGTGAGAGAAAGAGAGAAAAAAAAAATGTTTTTTAAACCTAAATATTAAAATGAAAATTATAAGATAGCTTCTTAAGAACTAAACTATTTACAAACTATATACAGATATAATATAAAATAATTCATTTCAGAATTAATTAATGAGTAAATAAAATAAAAGTCTCCTGAAAAATATTAAAAATATAAAGAGAAAAAAAAAAAAAAAAAAAAAAAACCTAAATGTCTTGGATTCGAACTGTGAACAAAGCCGAAGAATGTTAGTATACACAGAGCCGAGTCTTGACCGTAACTTATTACAGATAAGGTAAACCCGTAAGGGATTACGGGCCACTTGGGCTTGCCGAACGAGCACTAATTTATTACTGCTTCATTGTTAATCAATAGTTACTAACCTGAACATATGTGACATAAAATGTACCACTGTTTATATAGTCACTGTTGATATAGTCTTACACCAGAATTTTAAATAGTAACCACATTACATAGTAACAAATACAGAGCGACGTGAATCTTCAACTGCACTTGCGGCCATGACACTTGCTACTTCAAATGAAAGGAATAAGAGTAATTCTTTGGAATGCCAACGGTGTATTATCCCGTTAAAATGAACTCGAAATTTTTCTTAGTTATAACGACATAGACATTGCTTTACTAAGACTCACTTAACAAAAAATATTAGGTTTCATTTACCGTCTTACATCACTTATCGGACTGATCATCCTTCAAATAGAGCTAAGGGAGGTACTCTCATTCTCGTTAAGAACTCAATCAGTCATCATTTCAATGCTTCTGAGGCCTGTGAGAGTTATCAATGCACTTCAATAGTGGTTAATATATTTCATTTTAATCTTACTATAGCAGCTATATATTGCCCTCCCGGCAAGAATTTATCAATCCAAACATTTGACCAGTTGTTACATTCTTTGGGTAACAAATTTTTGTGTGGCGGTGATTACAATGCTAAGAATCAGGTATGGGGCAGCAGAATCAGTAACTCTAGGAGCTCTTCAAAATGCTATTCTTGCTCAGAATTGTAAATGCTTATTCCCCTCTTCACCGACATATTGGCCTACGGATGCTAACCGAATCCCTGACGTTTTGGATTTTTTCATTGCCAAGGGAATAAACGTACAGCATTGTGCCATTACTAATCTGACTGACCTATCTTCAGATCACTCCCCTCTTCTTCTAATGGTAGACTCAAAACCTATAACCAAATCTCCCCGACCGTCGCTAACACCTGGAAAAATTGACTGGAACAAGTTCAGATCATCTATTGAAAATTCATTATCACTGAACTCTAATATAAGAACATCTGAAGACTTGGACGACGCAGTTCATCACCTCACACAAACAATACAAAATTCAGCATGGACTTCTGACATCTCAAGCAAAAAGACAGACAAACATGACCATAATTACATTTCACCTGAGATAAGATATCTTATCGTACAAAAACGAAAAGCTCGTAAGATATGGCAAAGAACTCGTTACCCATCTGACAAACACAAGTTCAACAAACTAACTCGACAACTTCACGATGAAATAAGACGTTCAAAGACAGAAAATTTTGACAAATTCTTGAATGGTTTAGCAAATTGTGAGAAACCACTTTGGAATATAACCAAACGGATTCTACAGCATCATGACGTCTCACATCCTCTCAGACATGATGATGGTTACTGGGCAAAGTCAGATGCTCAAAAAGCGCAATTGTTTGCTCGCCACCTCGAAGAAACATTTAAACCTCATAATGACATAAATGACATACTCTCTACTACAATTGTCCAAAGTCACCTTAACGTACCCTTACCTATGACATTACCACCAAAATCAATTCATCCTTACGAAGTTCAAAATTTAATTCAGAGCTTGCCTATGAACAAGGCTCCGGGATTTGACTTAATTACGAATTTCGTCATAAAAAATTTACCTTGGAAAGCAATTCTTTTTCTAACAAATATTTACAATTCTATTTTGAGAATCACACATTTCCCCACTCTCTGGAAATATTCTGAAGTTGTCATGGTCTTAAAACCTAATAAATCTTCAGACTCCCCAAATTCCTATCGTCCGATTAGTCTTCTTCCTTCTTTTTCTAAATTGTTTGAAAAAATTATTCTTCGTCGCCTTGATTCTCTCGATATATTTAAATTTATTCCAAATCATCAATTCGGCTTCAGAAAGCATCATTCAACTGTTCAACAATGCCATCGATTGGTAGATTATATTTCTAATTCTTTAGAATCTAAAAATTATTGCCTGGAGTTTTTCTTGACATTAGTCAAGCCTTTGATAAAGTTTGGCATGAAGGATTGCTCTCCAAACTTAAAATTTTACTTCCTCCGACCTACTATCTAATATTACTTTCATATCTAACGGATAGACATTTTGTAGTAAAAGTAGGGACAGAACGTTCTGACATCAAACCTATTAAAGCAGGAGTGCCTCAGGGTAGTGTCCTTGGACCAATATTGTTTAATATATATATGTCTGACCTACCGGAACACAACGACACAATACTGGCTACTTTTGCAGACGATACCGCAGTACTAAGCTCAGATAAAAACCCTGTTCGAGCATCTACCATCCTTCAAAATCATCTGAACGATATTGCAGACTGGGCAACAAGGTGGAAAATTAAGATGAATGAAAAAAAAAGTGTGCATGTGGTATTCACTCTTAACCATAAACCTTCCCCTGAAATATATTTTAATAACATTCAAATCCCAACATCAGATGTAATTAGGTATTTAGGTTTTTACCTGGACAAAAGACTTACTTGGAAGACTCACATCAGACAAAAACGAATAGAATTAAACAGACGATACGGTCTCTTATCCAGATTACTTGACAGACGTTCAAAATTATCTTTAACTAACAAAATAACCCTTTATAAAGTCTTACTTAAACCTATTTGGACTTACGGCATAGAACTGTGGGGCTCTGCTAAAACTTCCAACATTAAAAAAGTTCAGTCCTTTTGGTCAAAAGTGTTGCGAAGGATAGTTGACGCACCTTTTTATGTCGCAAATGATACACTACATAAAGACTTAAACGTACCTACAATTTTAGATACTGCAAAAGAGAACTACAATAACTTTCACCAAAGACTGACGTACAACATGAATCCTCTGACAGAAATCCTTCATCGTACAAGAAACCCGTACAGCCCACCACGACGATTACGTAGGCGTTGGCCAAGAGACCTGCTGATTTGATTTATATCCCGGACGTGATGGGAAGCTGTGAAGCTGCTAAAAAATTTGCTTATTGCAAAGAAATTTGCACATTTCAAATTTAATCTAATGTTCCACATTTTTGTTTGGTTAATAAATAAATAACTTTATTTTTTTTTTATTTTCAATTTTATTTTATTTTTTTTACAACTAAATTAATGCAATAAATATTTGATCGTTAATAAAACCAATATAATGTACCAAAAATGTTATTATATCACTATAACTAAGCCATTTATGTGTACTGAATGGTGTGGTAGAGCCCTGTAGGCACCCACGCCAGTACTGCTTTTCTGCTGCATAAGTGCATATTCTACGGAACTGCTTAAAATTTAAAAAAAATAATCAGCGTTTTAGAAAGTAAAATATATTCCCCAGATGTTTTATTTCAGCACGTTTTGCGTTATTGTTGGCCGTTTAATTACAAACGACGCTTGATTTGTAACTTGAAAATTTTTTTGTTAAAAAAATTGACTTTACTGGTGTTTTTCATAGCCTAAGCCAATTATTTTTTAATATTTCTTCATGGTTTATTTTTCTATGACTATTCAGCTTTAATAAAAGACCAACTATGAGGAAATTAAGCAAATGATGATTCTCAGTGACCAAAAACCTAACTAAAGTCAAAGTCGTCAATCCGCCATGTTTGGACGCCATTTGGGGGCAGTGCGTACACTTTTTTTTGTGGGAACATTGGCTTTTTTTTAATAAATAGTTACAAGGAACACAACGATATGCAATTTATAGGGATGTGGAGGGGGGGGGGGTTGCACGATAAGGATGTCTGGCCCACCGTGTATTAGTATCATAGCACATTAAGCATTAGTGCATGAATACCCCTATTGTTATTTTAATGTTTCTAACCATCTGATGGGAGTAATTGCTAATATTTTGTGTGGATCCAGTAGAAAATTAAATTCTTTGTAATAATGCCAATCATGCATATTGCTCTAACCAGCATCAAATAGTTCTTAGGCTGAAACCACTGCCATATCTAAGGTTTTGAATTTTTTTGATATTTTACCAGATTTTCTAAATCTTACAGTTTATTATAAACAGAGCATCAGAAAATTTAATGCTGTTTAATTAAAACTAGTAATGACATCTTTTTGCCTGAAATGCATTGGAACAGAGTTATGGAGGAAAACATAAAAAAATTATTTTTTTACACCCATGGGGTTGGAGGTGAAAAACTTTTTAAACAGGATTAACATACATAAAACATTTGAAATTATTGAATTTGAAATTACTCCAGCTTTTGCAATCCCACAATTTTTTTTGAGCTAGGGTTACAGGACTGCAGCATAAAACCTTAAGGTAACGAAGGATAGTATCCTAGGAAGAAAAGCTTAATCAAAAGGAAACCAGTGGATGAACCACTTTTATTAAAAATATAAATAAATTAGATAACATTGTTTTAAAAATAATTATTTATTTACAAATTAAATTTACAAGTCCTTGTTTATCTTTGGTAATATCAATGAGCGTTATTACAAATTTTGATGGTATTAACTATATGAGAGACAGCAGCTACAGCTCCACCAGGTATGTACCTGCAACAGGAACAATAGATTTAAAATCTACAACTTCTAGTAGTACATGTATAGGCATGTCCTGTAAGTAGAGGGAAATATTTAAATGGTTGATAATAGATATCAAGATCTAAAAAAAAGTTCATATAAACAATTTTCAGATTTCCAGCAGAAAAGTAGGAAATTTAAGATTTGTGCTTTTTTAAGCGAGTCACGGTTTTAGTTGAATAGGAAGCGATAACATCAACAATATATGATTTAAGTAACTAAACATTGCTCCATAGTAAACTAGACAAAATTTACTTTAAACAAAAGTAGAGTTTGTCATTTAAAGAGGACTATTGTGCGGACAAACACAGCTAAGTTTCATTTAAAAAAAAAAAAGCATGAATTATTTGTGATTTTTGACAGAAATCTGGGAGAAAAACACAATTCCATTACCACCTTACATAAAAAATATTTTTTTTTTAAATTTATTTATTACCAGATCGGCCTGGTAGGCCTTACATGGTTGTTGTAACAATTTGATGATTTTTAACAATTGTTCTGGTGGGGTATAGTCTTTGCAAAAGACACCCCTAACTATTTATACATCATAATTATTGAATAATTACAATTAATAAAGAAAAAATTATTAATTGTTCATAACATGATGTCTTGGATCAGGCTGGGCTTCAGTCTTCGAGATGAGGTTGGGTTTCCTAAGTTGTAGGCCACTGCACCTTTAACTGCTGGTAGCTGCGTATGGAATTTTTTAAATCTTTTTTTGATGAATTCATCTATTGTTTCCAATTTTAGTTCTCGATGTAGTTGAGCGTTTCTTATGAACCAGGGGGCATCTACTGCAATTCTTAATACCTTGTTTTGAAAGGATTGTAGTTTTTTTCTTTTCGTAGCTGAAGCGGCTCCCCAGACTTCACATCCGTACATTAGCAAGGGTCTTAGTATGGTTTTATGAATAAGAACAGTTGTCTCTGGTTTTAAACTAGATTTTCTATTTACTATGGGATATAACATTGCTAACCTTGCGTATGTTTGGGTCAGTTTATTATTTATATGGTAATTCCACGTAAGGCGGCGGTCCAGATAAACTCCGAGGTATTTTACTGCTTCACTAGCTGGGTTCCATTTTAGTTCTTTATTTTTGAGAATCAGTTCAGGTGGGTCTGAGGGACGTCTAAGAGTAAAAATTTTTGCTGTACATTTTTCGGTGTTGAGACAAATCATCCATTTTTTTAAATATTGTTCTAGATTTACTAGGTAAGACTGCAGTGTATTTCTGGCTATTAATATATCATTGTGTTGGGAAAAGACAGCTGTATCGTCGGCAAACATAGCTATGGAGGTGTTTGTGGATTGGATAATGTCGTGAACATAAAAGTTAAAAAGTATGGGAGAAAGAACAGAACCTTGTGGGGTGCCGGCATGGATTTGTCTTAAGGTTGAATTTATATTATTTATTCTAACTGTAAATGTTCTGCCGTTGAGGAATGAGCTCAGAACGTCATATAAATATTTGAGCGTGTCCACTTTCTTTAGCTTGTACAATAGACCACAATGCCAAACCTTATCAAACGCTTGTTGAAAGTCTAAAAACGTGACAAGAGTATGTTTTTTCATTTCAAATCCATTTACTATGAATTCTGATAATCTTACCAGTTGGTGTGAAGTGGAATGACTATACTGAAAACCAAATTGAAAATCAGGAATAATGCTATTACATTGTAAAAAGGATGCAAGATGTCTTTTTATGACTGACTCTAGTAATTTTCCAACTATGGGTAGTAAACTTATCGGTCTATAGCTATTGACTTGTTTAGCGTTTTTACCATGCTTATGAATTACTACGAGTTCAGCTTTCTTCCACGTTTCGGAAAAATATCCAGTGCGTAGACAGCTATTAAAAATAGATGTAATGTAAACGAGAGTTTTTCTAGGAAAATTTTTTAAAGCAATAACTGATATAAGGTCATGTCCTGGACTTTTTTTTACTTTGAGACTCCTAATTAGTTCTTGAATTTCTTTAGGGGTTGTGAATTTAATCGGAAGCTGTACAGTTGTTAGGGGCAATTTTAAATAATCTTCAACATCAACATTTGGTGAATGCGGACTTCCTTCGCATTCTGGGTTTGAGAACGTTTTCTCAAAGTAATCTGCAAATGCTTCAGCTTTTTCTGCGTCACTGATGATGTATCCTCCATTCTCTTCCAGACTAGGAATTTTCTCAAATTTGCTTAGTACACGCCGAGTAGCCTTCCACAGAGATTGGTCCTTTGGGTCTAAATCTTTTACGTAATTTTGGTATTTAGAATACACCCATTCATCCAGTTCTTAAAAAATATTTGAAAAATCATTATTTTTATAAATAAAAGGTGTTTTAAGCAATTGTGTTTATTACAATACATCCCATATACCAGAAAAACAAGAAATAAGAACTTTGCAACAGTTAATTGTAGTAATTTTTGGAGAAAACACGGCTACATTAAGGTGACTGGATTTATGATTTTTTTTAAACAAAACTTAGCTGTGTTTGTTTGCCCAATAGTCCTCTTTAAATAGTTTTAAGAATGACAAACCCTACTTTCTTTAAAGAAAATTTTGTCTAGTTTACTAATTTTTAGTCAGTTAAATAAAATATTTATTATGTTACCACTTCCTATTCAACAAAAAATGTGAATCGCTTAAAAAAAACACAAATCTTAAATTTCCTACATTTCTGTTGGAAATTAATCAATTGTTTGTATAAACTTTTTGTAGATCTTGATGTCTACTATCAACCATTTAAATATTTCCTTCTAGTTAAGGGACATCCTATATAATGAAGAAAGAGATGGTCCAGAGTTGCGGTTATAAATAACTTTAATTAATATACAAATCATATTATTGAACTAAGGTTTTGACGATTATTATAAAATCCCATGTTCCATCCAGAGAATATGTCAGAATTCTCTCAAATTGGGATTTGTTATTTCTTCATGAAATTCGAATTTTCCTATACACCTCATTTCTCAAAATCCTTCGCTGCTGAGAGATGAAAAGGACCCCTAAACTGTATATACCAGACTCTTAACAAGAATAACTCTGTAGAATAGACACCCATACTGTTGAAAAATTTAAAATTAGAGATATCTTCATTACCAATTTCCAGCCATCACTATTCACTACAGATTTCGAGCGGATTGAGTAACCTACATTAAAACAGATGGTACTCAGTGAACGCAGAATTTGATGATCTACAGCTTTTATTATAAGTGTTTTTTCCCTTAGAGAACTCTTTTGCAAGCGCCATCAATAGTAAATATTCTCAGTTTTTGACAGATTTGGTAAAAATCAGTGTTTGTTGGCCATGGTTATCTACCATACTACTTGAACAACATATTAGGTTTAGGTACTCGTTCGACACCCAATTTAACGTTCTTTAATTACTTAAAGTATATATTTTTTGCTTTGATGCACCGTTTAGGAGTTATAGGTGAAAAAACAAAAAAATATTGAAAAATCTCGTTTCGATCCTCAAGTTACTGGTCTAATTTCTTTAAATCAGCCACCATTTTTATAGTTAGCAAGACCCGACTTTCATACCCTCATTTTTTAATATAAATGTTATAAATATTTAAAAAAATGGATTTGGAATTTTCATCAAATAATGTCGATTTTTTCTCACAGGCTCTTGGACTAAAACAATAACAAGAAATATGTCAAAATCAGAAAAGCTCCATTCAATTGGAATGACAAGCTTTACTGTCATGGATAAGTTAATATTACATAAGACATTAATAATAGGTATATGAAATGAAAATATAATCCATGAGAATAATAGTAAACAAAAAATGAATTTTACACTTATTAATACGATACCTCACGTATATGTCTCCAACAAGAGAACCAATGGCATGCAAACCAATTCCTTTGAACCTGCTGGTTTCATAGGTCCATGGGTCTACAACAACAGGATTTCTCTTTGGGTCTATTTCTCTCATCTCCTCATTTCTCTAAAAAAATATATTTATTTCATTATTATAAAAATTTAAGAAATATCAGTTTATTATATTAAAATTGACTCAAATGATAAGTCACTCCATTTCAAGACTCTTGAAAACATCTAAAATCCTCTTGAAAATATTGATTTTTCCATACTACTAAAAAGTTGCAACAATTATTAAATAAAAAATAAATTTCAAACTCATGAAACAGTGTTTCTAAAATAAACATATTTAGTATATGACAATACTTTTTCTTTACTTATCAGTATGGATATTATATTGGTAATGGATGGGTAGTGAATTCATATGCAGAATTCATCAGACAATGCTTTAGCAGCTATTTATATCATCAAGGTATTATGTTGTGATTGTGAACTTTTTATTACCTGATAGAATAGATGATTTCAAAAATCTTTGTAATGTTTTATAAGTAGCTGCTGGTTGAAAGTCTGTATGCTCGAGCATTCAAAGCACTATCTGTAGAGGTGATCAGGCTATCCAGTTGTATTACTATATATTATCACAGTCACATCTTTCTCTGTGTTCATTACTAGATCATCACAGGAAGTGATACATTCACACAAAATTACCACACAGCTCTGACCAGTCCATATTATGTCTATGACATTCCATCTAGATTCTCAAACTTTCACCAGAACCTTATTCATCATCCCAATCCTCTAGCGCAATCCCTATCCAGCTCCGAGCATCCATGCATGCCTTTGGAGTCCTGGCAATGGTCAGCTTCTCCACTCATGTTCTGAGCATCTGTGGCGCTAGTGCCCTCTTTCAGTCTCCACTAGCTTCTAATACTAGTGATGCGGCTGGGAAAGTGGCACTGGGATCTCCTGGAGTCCTGCTTTGCCTTCCATATGTGGGGGAAAAAGCCTGGCTTGGAGATTCCTGGGCGAATGTATATAGGTATGAATGTGTTTAGAAGTTTTTATTTTATTTTATTTGTTTACTTTTTTTATCAGTATTATTTATTTACTTTTTTATATTTATAGTTGTTTCTCTATTATTTGTACATATTGTATGAATGAGAACTTTTAACCTTAATACTTATAACCCTCCAACAGTGCCTGATTGTATTATTATTCAATAAATAAAGTTAAAATACAAAAAAAAAAAAAAATCATTTCCAGGAAAACGGTGTAAATAACCTACAGGAAGTTAATTGTAAAATGATTAGTTTTCGTGGGAATAGCGAATAGCCTTCCGCTTTTATATCGGGGCTTAAGGTTATTTACACTCTTGAATATTAAAACAAAACCCCCGACACTGGATATCGACTTTTTGAGGGTGTTTAACTGTGATTGGGAATTCGGGAATCTAATAACTTTTATGACACTGTGTGAGAAGAAACAATAAGAATACATAAATGAAATGTGGGACTTAGTAAATACACTTTGAATGAATTGACTCACCTGGTTTATTCTTCAATTGTGAGGCCTATAGGACAACTAAATAAAAGGCCTATTCACTCCGGTATAATAAAACAATTTATTTTGACAACTGATATAAGTGAATATATTAAAGTCTAATAACTGTAGTCTTGATATTCTTAGTCTTCAATGGAGTAAGCCTCTCTTCCCAGATGACGTCTTGTGTTGGTGCCCAGGCTTCCGCCCTTTTGCCTCAAGTGTTTGGCGCCGTTTTCCCCATCTGTTGCCAGCTACCTGATCGGACCTCTTCTTCTTTTCGATTCTTTATCGATGTGAGATTTTCCAATGTGCAATTTGTCCACTGCACAATTGAGTACAATTCACAGTGCTACCTCACATTCCTATATATTATATATACCTTCTCATTCCCTCACACATTGTCATATAAAGGAGTAAATACCGGGGATGTCTACTACAACGGCTATACGATGCTTTATATTATTGCCATCACTGGGAATGGGCCTCCTTCAAAAGTCTGCGCCTATTTGTTCTGTCCTATGCAGCTCTCCAGTTTCGGACTTCATGAGGGGCCCATCCGAAGAGACCGAGACAATCCATTGCACATTCGATTGTCCAACTCGCCATCGTGTCAACATCGTTGTAGAGTCTCGTTAGTTGGGCATTCCTCCTTCTTTTCTAGACGTCGTTCTGTCTAACAGGACCAAAAATCCATCTTAGAATGCTCCTCTCAAAGACAAGAAGCTTGGACTCATCCGCCTTCGTGAATGCCTAATCCTCTGAGCCATAGGTGACGACGGAGCTGACTAGGGAGAAAGCTGAATTATAGTTCTTTCAAACCACATCAATAAGTTTTGAATTTCATTTCATTTTAAGCTAAAAATTTCTAAAATATTTTTATTTTATATCTTTGGGTTTAATTTGTTTACGGGAGTCAGGTTTGTGACATTTTGTGTAGTTTATAAAGCACTACATACCTAATGATTTTCTTGCAAATGGGTGGAGACATCAAAAAGTTATCATGATTTTTGTGTTTGCCGACAAAATTTTATAGAGTTCATCCTGGACAAAAATATTGCGCAAAAAATTTCAATCTTTCAATTACTATAAAAATTCATAATTAAGGATTTTCTGAGGTGCAAAAAATCAATACCAACTTTGTTTCTCACTGAAAATTGTAATAACTTTACCATGTATCCGCCGATTCAAACCAAAAATATTAGGTATGTGGGGCTATACACTACACGAAATGGTAAAAACCTTACCTCCGTAAAAAAATTAAATTTAAAGATATAAAATAAAAATATTTGAGAAGTTTTTTCAAATTTCTAGCTTAAAATTGAATGAAATCTAAAAGGTACTGATGTGATTTGGAAGAACATTAATTCAGTTTTTCAACAGCTGAACTGATTTGGAGAAAATCTTGAGAAGTTATGCTTTAGATAATGGCCTGAAAAACAACCCTCCAAGAAAATCATGAAATAAAGTTTGAAATTTTTGTTTTCGATAAAAATTTCTATTTAAAGAACACTAAAAACGAATCTAACTTTCTTTTTTGTAAATTAAGACGTCTTATAAATCATTTAATACCAGTCATTATTTTTTCTTATTTTGCACAACAAAAAAACTCAATTGATTTATAATAATCTAAAAATCCTTGCAAAGCAAAGGCAAAAATTAATAACATAAATTTTGTTTAAAATTATATAAAATATTTTTTCTCAGATCCTAGAGCACATTGGCAAGAACCCTCAGACATGGTTATAATATTTTTTGACCTAGTATCATAAAAAAAAAAGTTACATTGAAATTGGTGATCCCACGTCTGTAGGATGAAATGGAAAAAAAGTGATATTGCATTATTGCTAAAAAATTTCAATATTTCCTCCTCCCATTCACATAAACTCAATATTTATCTCATAATTAAGTTAATAGAGGTTATAATTGATGATATATAAGATCTTTTATAGAATAAAGGTGATTTGGATTGAATTTTCTTAGAAGTCAAAAAATGTTACTTATAACTCATAAAAAAAATAAATAAGTTATTTACACCTGAAAGAAGTTTAATAATATAATGATACAGCTGATGCACAAGATTGTGTTTCCAACTCACCTCTCATTATTTACTGCTTTTTCACAAGAATCTCTGTTATTATTCACTTAAAACAAGTCAAGGATACATCAGAAAGTTGATATTTACTGTGTACAGTAATCAACATATAGATAAAGATATTTTTTTATTATTATTACCATGGTCATCACTAGCACAGTGGCTAATAAGAGAACTAGGTCGTTAGGCTTGACACTTCGATCTTCTGTTAAATAAATGCCTCATAAATCTCATCAAACGCCTCCAATGACACCTGTTAGCCCCAAAGAACATAAAATCCAGCCAGGTACATCACTACAAGAGAACATTGAAGAACCTTAGCCACAACCAGGTACATCATCACAGGAGACAATTAAAGAATATCCCTTTTTTACTCACAACCCCTATCAGGTGGTTCAGAAGAACAGAGAAGTAATGGAGTCCGCACAGATACCAAGAGACCTCGACCTCTACCGATATTCGTTAAGAACATAAAACATTTTCAGTTACTATATTCTCAACTAAACAAAATAGCAGGCTCCGGAAGCTACTCATGTCTAAGCAGAACAAATTACACCAAAATATCACAAGATACAGCTGAGACCTATAGAAAAATTGTGAAGAATCTAACAAACCAAAGCAGATTTTCAATTGCAGCAGGAGCGAGCTTTTAGAGTAGTTATAAGAAACCTACACCCCACAACACTGAAACAATATAAGAAGAACTGAAAACTAAAGGTTTCAAAGTGCGCCGGGAAGCAAATGTTCCCATGCACAAAATCTAAACAAGAACCTGCAGTTTGTGCTTTGTGTCATGAAGGATTCCGGCGAACTACAAAGGCTGCCAGGTATACAAGAGTATCAAATCCAGATATTAGGAATCGCGGTACCAAGAAGAAACCGAAAGATTCGGATCAAGAAAAGAACCTTCCAAAATCATAGACCCGATGGTGTCTATTGCACACCTATTAGGAGGTAAGAACAAAATTACTTATTGTGAGACCCTGCCGTAACAACAATATATAACTAAAAATTCTCAAACCCACTCTCAACATCCTACTACTCAAACTTGACCTAAACCTCAACAACTCTAATAATACCAAACGCCTCACATTCCTCCTCCATCCGAATTCAGATCCCTAGTTACTCCTTTGATAACCCTTTTCACCGATCTTTATCACATTTTCATCCCTTTCCCAAAAATTCCTTAAATGACATCCAATAAACCTATATCTATTCTCCTTTAGAATGTGAAGGGTGTTAGAAATCATACAGACGAACTATTTGCATTATTACTTGACCAGAACATTGACGTGGCCCAAATTACTCTCTGATAGCTCCTTACGAGTATGCTGTAGAACAGCATTTTCTGATATCTATCCAATTAGAGCTGGTGTTCCCCATGGCAGCATCTTAGGTTCTGTGCTTTACATCCTCTTCACCGCTGACACCCCTGCTCATTCTGATACCTTCCTTGCAACATTTTCTGATGACACCACAATCATATCATCCAA